CTCCTAACTTAAATGCTATTACATAAAATTAGTGATATTCTGATATAAACACAATATATCTTATATGATAAGATAATAAAAGAGTAAAGGAAACAAAGATCACATTCACACATAAGTAAATACTCATGACAATTTTGGTCCTTTCTGTATTTGGTCATATGATTTAAGTTGATTTAAATAGGTATGTTCTACTAATCATTCTTGCCATTAGCAAGAATGTCAGCTGGTCTTGCTTCTTTTATGGCAGGATGACACAACCTTTATTTATGAACGTCCTGGGCCATTTGTAATCCTACCCAGGTTGGGTGGTTATAGTTTTTTATTGACCTTAATCACAGGGCATAGTGTTATTAACAGATGCCCTAAGAAGTTCCTGTATTCCAGGCCTGCTCTTTGTTACCCACATTATGAAGTATTCATTTTTATTGTTATTGTTGTTGTTGTTGTTGTTGTTGTTGTTGTTACCGTTACCCTTGGTAGTTTGAATCAAACACCTCAGCCAACTCCCTCTCTGGATTGTTGACTCCATGTCATGAGAAACCCAAAGTGGCCAGTGGCAGTTATGATGTCCTTTTCAGTAAAAACATTTATGTGTCTCCTGGTGGAATCATTCCTCCTTCTTGTACCAAGACCTCTTGGCCAGCAGATCATTAAGCTGTGAGGAGAGAAAGGGACAATTCTGCCAGTGGGTTACTATGAGGTAATGGTGACTAGTGCCACTTCCAGTTATATTTCCCTATTCTGGGATTCATGAATCCTTTACCATGTAAAGGTTTCTGATTCAGAAAACATACAGCTATGTGGAAAATGGAAAATGTTGCCCCTGTCCAGCAGTTATCATACACACTGGGCTATGTAACTGAGACTTCAAGAGACCACTCCTCCTTTGTATCAAGCCAGCTGCTTCAGGATTATGGAAAACATGGTAAGATCATCAGTTTCATGAACATGGGCCCATTGTCACACTTTCTTTGCTCTGAAGTCAGTTTCTTTACTAAAAATCACATTGTTTGTTATAACATAATTGTGAATAAGACATTGAGTCCACAGATGGTAGTGTTACCAAAAGTATTGCATGCGGTGAAGGTCAATGCATATCCAGAATAAGTGTCTAAGCCTGTAAAAACAACATACCTCCATTATGAAAGACATTCAATGGAAAACAACCTGCCATCATGCGGCTGGCTGAACACCATAGGCTGATGGTGTCATGTTGGGAATTCAGTATTCATTTCAGCTGCTGGCAGATTGGGTACTCTGCTGTGGCCATAGCCAAGTCAGCTTTGGTGAGTGGAATTCCATGTTACTGAGCCCATACCTAGCCCCATTCCGGAAACCATGGCCACTTGGTTCATGAGCTCATTGGACAATGGAAGAGGGGTCTGAGGAATAGTCTGACTGGTATCCACAGAACAGGTCAATTAAACTGTTTGATTATTAAAATTCTTCTCTACCGAGTGGTCAGGATTCATACAGGACCAATTAATGGATGCGTAATTGCACATCTAGTAATTTTTTCTGTGAAAAATGGACAGCCAGGTGTACTGTTGGAAGCTCTTCTCACAAGGAGGATTGGAACTTCACTGCTGTTCTTCATGGGGCTGTAGTTCTGAGCTGTCTACTTTTGCATGGTCTCTGCAAATCATGCAGAATCTTATGAAAACAGGCCCGAGTTTTCTCTTCCTTTGTCATCTAATCATAGAAAAGTTCCTATGAGCTCAAAGGTGCAGACTGGAAGAGAGAATGGAGTGTAGCGGGAGTGGGATCCATGGGCCTTTTGGCCATGTTTTTATGTAACTTACTTAAGCCCTCAGGGAATGTTCAGGTCAAGTCAAGTACACATCACTTTATTATAATGATGGGGCTACTGTTGTGTATGCCTCATTTTATGGCCTTGTGAGTTAGGTAACACCTAGTTTATAATGGACAGCACAGATCAAGTGGTAATTGGGATGCACATGATTATGCATTCAGTCTCTACTAAGGCCCAGAAGTAGGCAAGATCTGTTTCTTCAAGGGGAAAAGTTATTCACAGAAGATGACAGAACTTTGCATCAAAATCCTAAGGACCTGCACTGTGATTTGCTTATGGGGTCTTTTAAAAGTCTCAGATAGCATCTTTTTCTGCCAACGGTACTTTAAGCACCACTGGATCTACTGGATCATATGCCACATGTGGAAGGCAGCCTGCTTGGAAATTTGGCTACATTACAGATCCTTTCATTGTTTTGGGCCCCACTCAAAGCTAGCTGCTTTGGGGGACACTTAAAAATGGGCCAGAGTAACACATCCAAATGAGAAGTATGTTGATTCTCAAATCTTAAAGATTGTAAACTAGGCATTGTACCTCTTTTCTAGTTGCAAAAGAAGATAGGTACAACACTTTATTCTTCGTCTTAGAAGGGATATCTCAGCATACTTCACACGCCTGTACTCTAGAAATCATTGAAGTGAAGGTCTATTCATTCTGGGAGGAGTTATTTTTCTTATTTTGACATATGAATGTCTTACTAATAAGTCTAAAGTAGCTGCTAGTTTTCACTCACTGCCTGTAATCACCATGGTGCCATCAATGTAAGACATCACTGTGATGTCTTGTGGAAGAAAAATCCTGACAAGATTATTGTACAACTATGACATGGGCTTAAAGAGTTATATATCCTGAGGTAAGACAGTGGGGTGTGTGGCTGGCTTTGCTAGCTGAAAGCAAGCTACTTCTGGTGAGCCTTATGGATAGATATGGAGTAAAAAGCTAGCCAGAACAGTAGCTGAAATTCAGGTATGAGGGAATGTGCTAATTTACTCAAGCAATGGAACAACAAAGGGTAAAGCAGCTGCAATTTGAATCTTTGCCTGGTTAACCTTATTGTCATCGATTGTCATTTACCAAGATCTGTTTGTCATCCGTATAATAAATAAAACAGTTGAATATATGTAGAAGTCATTGTTGGTGGCACTGATTTCTGAAAGCTCTCAAAAAAATATTATTTCTTTTGTTTTACTATGTTCTTATGTTGAGAAAGTTTTAGTGGCTTTTACTGGCCTTTCCAATGAAAGATAAAAGATAAAGAAAGAAAAAAGGAAGGAACAAATAACTTATGCATAATAATCTTAAATAATCAGTATAAATAGATGATGCAGAATAAAAAATTAAGACTAGAGCTTCACTGTAATAACTAATTTTGGCAAGACTCAATGATGGGTACAAAAATTCTGGGTTCACCTTAAAGTTAAAATGTTAAATATTGCATAGCCTCAAAGCATCTCTTTTCTAATATTCATCACATCTTTTGTATCTTCATTTCTTTGGAAGACCTATGACAACTTAAAGCAGAATTTTTAACATCGTGTTGTGATATTTATGATGTGTATGTGTAAAATTTATAACCGTAGCTTAAAGGATAGAAGGAGGTGAATTGTTTTGTAGTAAATATTTTATATTTTACATTTATTAAAATAATATAGTATTAACTCTAAGTAAATTGTAATACATTAAAGATGCATGTTGTAATCCTTGAAGCAATCACTAAAAATGCAACAAGATGATATCTAAATCACAATATAAAGCAAATTGAATACAAAATGTGTTTGTTCAAGAATGTTCATAGAACCCTTAGTTATAATAGTCAAAATGGAATTGCTCAAATGTCTATCAATTGCAACACAAAAAAACAAATTGTAGAGCATTCTTACAAGAGAACACTATTCAGTAATATCAAAGAACAAACTACTGAAACACACAGCTTGGATGAAACTCAGAAACATTGCACTGAGTGATGCAGCTGGGCATAAAATAATACATACTGTGTAATTTCAGACAAAACCTATGTTAAATAAATTACAACAGTAAGTTGCTTCTTGGAGAAAAGAAAAATTGCCTGCCATGAAACATAAGAACATTTTTTAGGAATTATGAAAATGTTTTATTCTTAAGAGAGGTGAAATTTACATAGGTTTATTTATTTGTCAAAACTAAGCAGTTAAGATTTGTGGCATTCAATGTCCTTTGTTTTCTCTCTTATTTCTGGAAGGTCAATGGGCCTCCACCAAGCAGCAGGTGAAGGAGAGGTGGTCTACCTGTGGACATTTCTTGCTCAGGGCATCTTCTTTTCCACCCTTGGGCCTGAGGAGAAATGATGATAAGAAGAGTGTGTTCCCTTGCCTCTGGCATAAAAGAATATTTCAGGCCTTTCGCCTTCCTAAAATCAGTGGAGTCAAAACCCTCAGAGCTGTATTGTAATGTGGCCGCCACTGACATCTGGGGACTGCTGAGTTCCTACAATAGGTCGGTCTAGACTGAGACATACTGGAAGTTTAAAATACAGGATGAGTTTTAAAGATATTGTTTCTTTGTTGTTGTTTTTTTAATACACACTTTAAAAATAATTTATATGGATTACATTTTAAATCAATATTTTGTATATATTAGACTAAACAGAATGTTATAACCAATTTCACTTGCTTATTTTTCAGGCAGTTACTAGACAATTTTAAATGACATACATGTCTCTCATTTTTATTTGCTCTACATTGCTAACTGAGAGGATTGTCTTCCTTTTCAAAGCTCAGGCTGCCTTCCCGGAAGACAAGAAACAAGGAAGGTTATAAAATCTTAAACTATAAAATGAATATCGTTATATGTTTTTCTTTGCTGAAATATATATGTGTGTGTATATATATATATATATACTGTATTGATATTATTTATACGTGGATCTCAAATTACATACGAGAGTAAATGCAAACGTCACCTACGCGGGGTGAGGTCCCAGTGCAGGAGGAAAGACCTACTTTCAAAGGCCTCTAAAAACCTGCCCTTCTGACTTCGTTCAGCACTGTGTCTGATCACATCTCCTGTCACTCAGACCCAGAGGAGGCGGGGCTTGGAGCCTTATCCAATCTGCGGCTCGGTGGAGAAAAGTGTCCAATCAGGCTCTGAGCGAAGAGGAAGGGACGGCTTCCGGTATCCCCGGGAAATTCATCCCTTGAAGTCTTCCACGCGACCGGGTCTGTCTCCTCTGGTACGTGTCGTGTCCCGCGGGAGTCCCAGGCCACTCTGCCACAGCCTCTGTTGCCCTGTGACCTTCAGATACCAGGAGACCTATAGAGAGAAGACCGGGACACCCTGGAAGCCTGAAAATGGTGAGTGTTTGTGCCGCGTCTTCCGAGAGGGGCAGGGGCTGGTGGAAATGACGGGGCAACCGGCCGTGGCGGGACCCGAGCCACCCCGCCAGCTCTTGCACCCAGGTCCCTGATAGGCGGCCCAACCCTCAGTCCCCTTAGGCCGAAGGGTGGGGCTGGGCCGCCTCCCATGACCAGGGGTATCCTGTCCCGTCCCTGTCGCATGAGGCCCGTCCAGGAGCCTTCACCGGGCAGATCTGCGCCCGCAGCTCCGTGTCCCCCCAGCTTGTGTGGGTTCGACAGGAGGGAGGATCCGGACTCTGTACTGGGCTGGTGCGTGGTGGGTGGGAGCTGTGGTACGTAAGGTCGCCAGATCCTCTTTACTCCTGTAAAAAAACGTTTACGATTTTGTTTGAGCAAACAGAATCATCCATCTGGAAGCTGCCGGCTAGAGTTTGTGGTTTGGGATCCACAAGAAAGGTTTTTATAAGGTGCATGAGGAGACAAACCAAATTCAACAACTGATTGGGTGCATCTATTTAGTTGTTTATTTAGAGTATCTAAATGGGTGATTGTTATGTAATCAGAGATGAATTGCTGGCTTATGGTTGGTTATGGCTAAATTGTGTTTAACATTAATTTACAAGAAAAACATGAGTTGCATTTGGGTTTTCTTAGGTAGAACCACAGGACACTCCAGTCACTTCAGTGTAATTGCCTTCTATTTAATTATTTCAGTAGTCCACAGGAGGACTGGTTTTCACTACATTTTCTGAATGTGTGTCAAGCTGAGTCTCAACTCAGTGACCCAGACTAACTAACTGTACTAGGGCTTGCAGTAAAATCCTAAATTTCTTGTTTCGTTCCCACATTCTGAAATGTCAGCCCTCCTTCTCCAGCTCACATTATCAACTCTTTTGTGCTTTATATATATTTCAAACGGGTATAGTATTTTAATTGTTTATCCCCACCCCTTCACCCTCACAGAGCAGTTAAGTGGCTCTTAACATAGTTGAGATAGGAGTCTTCTAGTATATAACTCCTCTAAAAAACTAGTTCTTGGGAACTTTAAGACTTTCTTCCCCAATCCTGGTTTCCATTCAATGGGGCCACATTGCCAGTCCGCCAAAGGAATGCCGGTATTGAGGGGGGAAAGATGAAAATGATTCCTATCCTCTGCCTTCTCTCAGACTTGTGAAGGGAGAACTACCATCCCAAAGGACAAGGAATCCCCACCTCAGTGAGGCAAGAACCTGAAAAGCAAAAATCACTTAGGGCACAGCAGGAGCACAGAGCAGTTTCTCTTGGGAAGGTGGGCACTGAGCATTTCAGTGAGGAGGGTGGAAGTGGAAGGATCAATGTCAAGTGAGTAACCTTAACTGAGAAGCAGAGACATGCCCCTTGTGACTCCAAGCTAAGACCATTCTTGAATTTGCAAAAGGAGTCAGGTCATTCTGCAGAGCCTCTCTTCTGGTGTCCCAGAGTATTCACATCAGCCTGGAAGGAGCCTTTAGTGGAAAGAAGCTATAGAGCCCTGGAAAGTGGTGATCCTTCAGGTGGATGCAGTTGGGATTGGATGGAAGCAGACTTGGGAGGCTCTTTCTGAGTATTACTTGTAGACTTTGTAAAGCAAAACAAATTTGAATTTAGGTAAAAATTGCTTAATTTCAAAGGAGTAATTCAATAGGGAGAAAAGCCACTAACTGTAATATTTTTGAGAAAGCCACTAACTATAATATTTTTGAGGATTTACAAAATTAAACAGAAAATAACTTTCTTTCATAGGAAAGAGCAAACAAGATTAGAAAAAAGATGGAAGGGAAGGAGCAGAATGGAGAGTGACAACATCAGATTCTAGATCAGAGAATGTTTTACCCTGAAGTCAGTATCTTCTTAGGAGGGACATAAAGAGGGGTTATATATTGGCTAAGGCTGATAGTGGGTCAGATTTTAGACAACCTGGGGGAAGGTTGGTTAACAGGTATTTTGATGTGACCTCTGAAGACAAAACTGTTCAGCTAGTTGTTTGAAGAATAATATGGGAATTTGCATAGTTTCCAACTGGCCTTGTGATAGTTTTAAAAGAGAGGATCGTCTGATCATAATGCGGTAAGCTGCTCTTGGTAAACATAGTTAAAGGGGGATTTCTTCAATCATAGCCACTTACCAGGATTACTCACCTACCTCATCTCCCCTTCCACTCTCCCTTGCTGTATATATCTCTTCTATTTTGTTGTTCTTGAGTTGTACCCATCTTTAACCTGGTAAATGTGTATAAAGTGTTTTGCTATTAAAATTGGGAAGTTTTGAAATCCCCTCACTCTATAGACAATTGCTCAGAGGTATAGGTGGTTCCCTGAGGTTTGTGCCTGGTACCTGCAGTGGGGACAGTGTTGTGGAACTGAGGTCTGAAATTTTGGGATCTATACTGACTCTGGATAGTGTCAGAATTGAATTGTGGGACACTCAGTTGATGTTGAAGTATTGGTTGATGTTCAGCCAACTCCACACATTTGGTGTTTGAAGTGTTTTCAGTAAAAGGACCTCACAGGTCACAACCTGAAGATGAGTCCAGGTGAACCATTGGTCACTGGTGAGAACTGAGACCCTAGCAGAGGGAGAGTTTCCATGCTTGAAGAGGGGCAGAAGGTGTGTGGAGCTCCCAGTATTAAGTTTCTCAGCTACCTAGGAATGAGCTACAGCGGCACAGTGAGCGTGGTCCCCAATCACAGGAACCTGCTTAGCTTACTGACTATGCGATTTATTGTGAACTGTGGGTGAAATAGATGGCTTCCTTTTCTTTCCCTTTTTGTTTTCTTTATAAAAATCTTGCTGCCATCTAATTCCAGATTGCTCAAGTGTTTAGTTATTTGATTCAATGATTTGAGTGTAAGAATTTTATTTTGTTTCTCGAAAATCACAGTAAATTGAGTGATGTGATATGAAGATGAAAAGAGAATATGCTAAGTTTAAATAGTAATAATGTAAACAGTCATGGATTCCATATCCAGGTGAATAAACAGGCCTTGGTCAGTTCTGGGTCTTCCTGATCTCCTCTCCTTTCTGCTCCCAGAGATGATTACAGAATTGAGGTTTTTTTGTTATCCTTTGTAGCTTAACCATGTATTAATTGTGAAGAAGAGTTTTGCTCAGTTTTCTCTTTTGAGTTTTCAGTAACTAAATGTTACTATTAATATACTATCAACATTATGCTGACAGAATTATGTATGGTTTCTTTGCTTCAGTCTGTTGCACACAGGCTGCTGTCTGAGGCCATAGGTTACCCAGTTACTCATCCATTTCACTCTTTATAGACTTTGAGCTGTTTCAAGTTTATATTTTGATGTTATTGCCAATGCCATTCTTGTTTTTGTTCTCAGTGTAAATGCCTTATAAGTTTGTTGACCTAAGAGAGAAAATGACACAGAATATAATTTTCAAGAATTTTCTAGAGCCAAGGTGAGGACAGTTGCCTGAAAGAATCAGGCCCAAGTACCTTGGATATGGGCTTGGTTTGGCCTTTGCTACAAGTAGGTTTTTAAAAGCAAAAAGGGAATATGGAGTGGGCCAGTACAACCTTGTTTGTCAGGAATTCTCAATGCTTTACAGAAATAACATTGACTAGTGGCTGGCTATGCATTGTTGACCTGTATGTTATGAATTATATTGTCCAGCTTGTGATCTTGTTAGGTTCATTTATAACTATTTGTAGCATCAGTCAGTGTAGATTCCACATAGCAAACAGTTTCTAGAGATAATTGCTGAGTTTAAGTGTCAAGTGGGGGAGTTGAATGTGACTGCTGCCTCATTCCTGTGTTCTCTGGACCTGTTAATTGAAAAGTAGCTTGCATCCCCCAGATTAAAAAAAAAAAAAATTCAGTTCATTCTCATTGTTAGCAGATTATTTGTTCCCAGCAAGAATGTGGGCAGTCTGTTCTAGAACACTCACCCAAGCATAAATAAGCCAACCAAGAGCTGCCAGGCTCAACTGTGGGGGCAGTTGTACAGTGTGGGCAGAGACTCATTCAGAATGTAGGACTTATGGGGCTGTCTTCTGCTTGCAAGGAATACCAAGCAGGTCCACTGGATGCATGGGCAGGCTTTTCTAGATTCCCACCCATGTCTGAAATCACACCTCCATTTCTGATTTTTCTGGGCTCTGATGGGAAAACTCATCTCTAAGGATGTCTCCAAAAGGAGAGAAAGATGAGATTTCTTTAGAACCTCAGAAACTGGGACTGCAGACTGAAGAGTGCATCCTTTCTTAAGGATGTTTTGCTTAGAAAGGCAGGGAGCAACTTCAGAAGAATACAAACCAATTTGTCCTTTGTGGTTCCGTGGGGGAGAGAGGGATGGGAAAGATTTCTATTTGTGTGCTCCTTTTTGTTTTACCAGGCATTAAAGTTAAGAATGCTCCTCTTCTCTTTCTTGAAGATGGGGGCATCCTGGAACCTCCAGCCATTTGTCATTTATTAGCATACAGAAGACACTTTCACTTCAGACATTCCATAAGTTTTAGGGGCTGTGGTTCCAGGAAACTGAGGCAGAGACCAAAATATACATTTTTTTACTCTAATCACATTCTCACATTCTCAGGCTCAGCTATGGCTCTCCCTGGGAAGATTTGCCCTGGCTTCCTCTTTCCAGTGAGAACCGACCCTCACCCCAACACAGCTCTCCTGATCCTGTGCACACACATTCTTTATGGCAGCAGCATGTTCTGGCACTCAGCGTTCTCCTCTCAAATGATCTTGAAGTTCTTTAAGTACTTGCTTATATAAGCTGTGTCTAGTTCACCAGTATATTCCTAGTGCCAAGCACAGTGTCTCAGTAATTGTTTAATTAATAAATAATGGCACTATTTGTGGAAGGGAATTAGAGGAGTTGGTCAGGTTCTCAGTAATTGTTTCATAATTAATAATTAATGGCAGGTTCTCAGTAATTGTTTAATTAATAAATAATGACACTATCTGTGGAAGGAATTAGAGGAGTTGGTCAGAGCAAACCTTACTCAGCTACTC